CGTCACGTTGATTAATCTCTCGTCACGTTGTCACCCTCCTTTATATACCAGTCTACCCTCCATCTAGTAAAGCATTCGCCAAGATACGGGATAGTTCTAGAAACGTGGCGTCACACCAGTCATGTGACTCGCTGACGCAACAATACATTTAACCACACCGAGAGATTACTGCATTGTATGTATTTTGCTTTATTCAAATATTTCACCTGTGAGTTTGTCAGAATTGAATAGTGTGTGTGCGGAAGTTTACTTTACGTCAGTTACGATATGAAAGTACACGTATTCTCTTTGTTTGTTTTTGGAATTTCTCGCAAAGCTACCTTAGGACTATCTACGCTTGCCGTCCCCAATTTAGAAGTGATAGACTAGAGGAAAGACAACTTGTCAACATCACCCACCGTCAACTCTTGAGCTACTCTTTTATTAACAAAAAATGGGATTGGCCGTCACATTATAATGCTACCACGACTGAAAGGGCGAGCACAATATATATTTTCCTTATTCAAATACTTTAAGATCCTACAAGAATTAGAACTTTGAGTTTATCAAAATCGTTTAGTGTGTGTGCGAAATTAAAAAAAAATTAAGTAACCTATTTTTGTAGTTTTTGTGTTTCTTGTTTTAATACTTTTTGTAACATTAATACTTTCTATATTACTATAGCTGACTAAATTACTTATATATCGATCCCTATATGTCTTTCTAAAATTAAAATATTTTTTCTTCGTACTTGTTTGTTTCTTTTTTATTAGCGATATATTTTTGCGCCAGCAATACCAAGCCCGGGGCGCGCGTATACCCGATTCGATTTTATTACTCATCAGGATCTTTACCAACCTACTCTTAACTCTCACTATATGCCCAAAGTAGCGCATCGTTTGGTATATATATATATACTAGTATCCTTTTCGGTACAAGAAAGGAATCATTGAGACCCCAGACGGCAGAGTTCTGTGAAAGAATTAAAGCGGCAAGGTTAGTTCTTTTTTTTTTTTTCTTCTATACGTTTGTCTGGGAAAGTAACTTACTTACATTACTTAGATGAAAATTTGTTGAAATAGTGAAATTTTGATTCACTCTATAAACACATATATAGCGATTTGGGTGGCTTTATGTGTATAATAAGTTTTAGATTTGCTCAGCCAATACTGCGAAATAGTCATTGCTAATATTCAGACATTTTAAAGGTGGTTTTCAACGGGCGATTTTTAACGCCGCCATTTTGTTTCGTCACAATTTCTACTATTAAATATTACCGTATTTATTAATGAGAAGGGTATATGTTTTAAATAATGCTATTGTATTATGTAGAAGGACATGAATTAAACAAAACTCTACTAAACAGAATCTGGAGTTTTATTTATATTAAAGCAAATAAGTGTAAAACATGGAATGATTATAAACGAATTATATATTTTTCTGTATAACTACCTTGTCTTTTTGGATAATTGCCATCTTTTGGTAAGATCTCGAGATTTTTTACTTGAACGAACTCTTGATAAAATGACGTTATAAAATTATGGTATCAAGAAGTATAAAAATAAGTTGTCTTCGTTTGTCGCCATTTCGGTTAATTTTCTCTTTTTTTTTAAGCCTAATTGTCAATTTATTAGACGCCTGTATTGAGATAGTTGAAAACGTATAATAACTATAAAATACTAGAATTTTAAAATTAGGATATCAAGAAGTGTAAAAAATCAACTGTCGTCATTATTTTGTAAATTTTTTGTGTGTATGTTTGTCTGAATCGCATTTGTATATCACCTGTAATTATTGTCTTTCGCGTAATGTATAAGTTGTAAGGCATCGAAAAGTGATTGAAGTTGTGGCAGTGACTATTAAAGATAATTGTCGTGGATTGTGTAGCAGGCAAAGCGTATTTAAACTTTAGGCCTAACTGTCAATTTTTAGATGCCTCTTGTATTGAGATTTAATGGTATTGCGATATTTATAAGCCACGGAAAGGTAAAGAATTAACTTAATGTGTTTCTTTCCATGTTTGTTTATGTAATTGTCTTTAAAGTTAATGTTATAGATATCATAGTTTTGCACTCGTATAAACATATGAGTATCACTGTTTAATTAGCCAATAGGAATATTGAGTTTCCATGTGAGTTAGCATGCATACATGCGCGAACTGACTGTCACACATTGTTCTTTTAATTACATAGATATTCTTAGCATTAGACTTTTGAGTACAGCGTAATTCCTTCCAATTATATATAACCATTTCGTCAAGTTTTTTACTTAATCAATTGTTTATTCTATGACACGTTGCTTGGAAAGCTAGTCCCATTTGTTATTGTTTCGTTGTTTTGCATGGAGGGAAGGGAAAATTTGCTTCCAGTAGTCCACAAGGATCCTTAATATACATTTGTTATTACATTTCATGTTGTGTTTCTCTATGTGTTCCGTTATGCGTTCATATCATGTTGTGTTTCTGTATGTGTTTCCTTATGCATTCATTTCATTTTGTCTTTCTCCATGAGTTTCTTTATTTATTCATTTCATGTTATCTTTCTAAATTGTTCCTTTATTCATCCATTTCATGGTTTGATTTGGTTCATTTTTCTCTAATTTGTCTAAACTTTTTTTGTTCATTCCATTTTCAAATTGATACTTGTTTCTTAATTTTGTTTAGCTATTTTCAATGTATATATATAAATATATATTTATCCACGTAGGCATGTGTGCGTGTCTCCGAAAATATTTCCATTAACAAGTATCGTAGGAGAAGATTTTAGGCCACGTGGAATACGCTAAAGAATTCTTACTACATAAGGAAAGCCAGAGTTAACATTTAAAATGCCGTAAGTCTTGGATATGCAATAAAGCTTGATTAAGACAAACAAAATAAAACATTATTAAAACAACCTAGAATAAAAAAAAACATGTTTGTGCTAGCAGATAGAAATGTCATTTACATATTATATCACAGGTAAATGAAGCTCACTACACTATCTTAAGTGAATTAAAATTAGATTAAAATATACTTCTCAGTCTGATAGGCGTAAGAAACAGTAGGTACACTTAAAGTGTATATTTCGTGAACTATAGTTAATTATAATACCATAAAAACAATATAAAGTGTGGAGTTTTTTTTTTCTTTTTTATGGCTGTTAGATTTCTGTGTCGTATGACGTGTACTCAAGTGGGATAGAACAAGTAACAAGTTTAAGTGATCAAAACAAAGGTAGATATTTCACAAACATCGATTTCTGTGGAAAACTTTTGTATTTTTCGTTAACGGATCATCACATCTTCCCATGTGTTTCGCTTTAATATCATGTTTTTAACTTTTGTGTCAGGATTCCTTGATTTGTTATTGTTGTGTAATATATCCAGTATATATGGAAACTTGGTATTTAGGAATTCTAAGTTCTTAACACTAGTGGTTTGTCCATAGATTACGAAGTTTAGGTGGTTTTCTTTTGGATATTCGCACAAAGTTACATAACCAGCTAGCCATCCCTAATTTAGAACTGAAGGACTAGAGGAAAGACAGCTAGTCAACAGTATCTACAACTAACTCCTTGACCACTTTAATAGAATAATGGAATTTGACCGTCATTTTTATAACGCACTACGGTCCCAAAGTATGAAGCGCAATTTTTTTGGCAACGAGGCGTGAACCGTGAATCCTCGGATTCACAACCCAGAACAATAATCGTTAGCCATACCAGGTACGTGATATAAAGGATAAAAAAGTTATTCAGCTCTCCAAGTGTAGTTGGTATAGTGTGAGGATTGTTTTTGTTGGATATTGGTTTCTTTTGTTTTCGGCATTTTATTGTATAATGATGCCTTGACGCTTACATTTGGGAAGTTAATATTTTTATTGTTTATGTTATTTTAGATCACAGTCTGATAATTTTTAATTATCCTCTTTTTTTATATTTTTAGTAGAAGCTTAAAATACTTCAAGATTAAGATGTCAGTTCATTCATAACCGTAATTACGATTTCTTCTTAACTGAGTTTTCCATGAAAAAGTAAAATCTCTCAATAGATAGCTTTTTAAGCCCTTTGAACCTAGGGCTAGGCCTGACGTATCCCATTGAGGTAAAAACGCGCTCCACACTTTGGGGCCGTGGGTGCGTTATTAGGGTGACCGTCAAACCCCACTATTCGATCAGATAAGGGTAGTTCAACATAAAGATGTGGGTGCTTTTGATTAGCTGCCTTCCCTCTAGTCTATTAGTTAAAAATTAAGGACTGTTTTGCGCAGATAGTTAACATTGCGCGAAATTCTGAAAGAAACAAACCTCTTAAAGACTCACCTCTCGGCCAAATGATTATTATGTAAGCTTTCAAGATGTTTAAAAAATATACCATGATAAAAAAATCATATAATGAGAGCTAAGCTGGTTTATAAGCTCTATTCAAATCTAGTAAGAAAGAGTGAATTTTGTCACCAGTAATAGCTTATTTTTGGAGACCAACTCCGAATGGAGATACCTATATAAAGTATGAAACCATTTCTTCCAAACGCCGAATATTTGTTTACAGATGAAGTTAGTTTTTGTTTTTTCTCTGTTGCACTGGTGTATTTACTTCTTAACGTAGTTGCTTTTTTCTGGTGATTGTGGTGTTTGATTTGTACTTATAGGCCACAGTTTTATTTTTAATTCTGCTGATGTACATTTTTAACATAACTCTTATTTATATTTTCTCCCTTAGTTACTCCATTATTGTACTTAATTTTATTCTGCTGCACTGAGGCATTAATTTCTGATAATTTTTTTTTACCGAACACAGCTCTAGTTTTTATTTTGCTACACTGATAGCCCTGTACCTGAAAATAATATTTTTTCTTCACTACCCTAAGGTACCTGTTCTTTTTCTAAACGTAGTTATTCTGCTTCACTGAGATATCCATTTGTGAAACTATCTTATTTCCAGCTGTATCAAGGAGTATATTCATTGTTTTGCTGCACTACGATATCCATTTCTATGCCTAGTTCTTTCTGCTAAACTGAGGTATCTATTTAGGAACCTAGATTTTTGAGGTAGTTACTATCATACTAAAATACTTATCCGATACTCATTAGTCCTACCGAGTAGTCTTTTTTTTATATTCAGCCATGCATTTTAAAGCGGTTACTTATTTAGATAGTTAAAAATGAATCTTAATTTTAAGTGTTTGTAATCAAATATATATATATATATCAGATAATTACTTGTGAATACAGGCCACAATTCTAAGAAAAATACATCTGAAAATCTCTTCCATCACGACCTTACATTATCTTCTCTCTCTTACTACCAATTGTTCTGTGTTCTACATTTCAGACTTGAAGCTAGTCGGGTTCCGCTTGGGGGCGTAGCGTGAAGAATGAGTTTAAACATAACAATCTTAACTGGTCACGTACTCTTCCGAAGGTAAGAACGTGCTTCTTATTTCACTGTTTTGTAATCTACTCATTTAACTGTTATAAATTTGCAAAAGAAAAAAAAAAAGAGGTTATAAATGGGCAATGTATATACGAAGTCCCGTTTTTAGCCACTTATGGGGGTCCAGTGATTAACGCCGTGCTGATCACGCCTAACAGTACCACTAATTGCATGCATGAGCCAATTTAATCATACTTTATAAAAAAAACTTTGTTATATATTTTAAGTTTTTTATATTCAAAAGTGACATTGAAAATGTATATTACTAGAGGAGAATAAGTTACATGTATTCTGATGATTTCAAATGGTAGTTTGCTCGTTACTAAACTTTAAGGGAGACATAGATCGAGATTAAGGGAAAATACTCCTCGTAGGCTTCGAGGGGGATAGGTACCCATGTTCCATAGAACTCTGTCACAGTGAATATCGTGTAACTGTAGTGAAGATTGGTGTTTTTTTAAATAAATTTAAAAACAGGATGGATAGTTTTAATGCTATTTGCTAAACTAAGTTACACTGAAGCTTGCCTACTAAATGTTTTACTTTTCTATGAAGTTGTTACAACTTCAAAGTGAAAATATGAAACCCATTAAGAAAGCCAAGTGCTCATGTACCTCTCTGAGGATGGAATTTTGTGATTCATTTGAACTCTATACCCGCTTCTGTGTATGGCACAAACACATATGTACACAAAACATTTAAGACTTACTCTTCGTCATGAGGGATACAGTGAGGGCTGAAAGCCAGTGGTTCAACAAGTCAAGCAAGTCACGTGATTGGTATCTGAGTGTGTGGGCTCGTTTGACTTCTCTCTGTGATGTTTTGAAACTCGATTTTCCGTTTCATGACGCAAAACGCGTCTAGTTATTCTTCTGAATTAAGGAAACGACGAGATTTGTGTCGAGTTTTCCGTCAGGAAAACTTTGTAATTTCAATATCTATTAAAACGCACAGTAACATGACCACTGATTCGTTACAACACCGTCTACTGAACTTCACGAAATTTAACGTGAATTGTGTGAATAAGAACGTGAACCAATTTTGTAACATTGGACGTTCAAAGTAGAATGTTTACCGAATGTCACCAATATACAACGTAATGCTTCTCGTTTTCTGGTCTCCGTGTGGTTTAGATCCGGTAATGTTTTACTAATACGAGTAGTTACAATACAGAACTCGTTACTGACATTGGAAGACAACGATTTTTTAACTGAGACTGTTGAACTCGGAAATTAAATTGAAACGTTCTTCATTAAAAGAAAAATAGCTGTCAAGTTTGAGTGTCGCGCGCTTAGTTTGTTTTTGAATTGTATAACATTGAAGTATATTACATCTATCTATGTCCCATAAAGTTAAGGAGCCTTCTAACTCACAGAACCATTTGGTTGTGTACCTGACTCAACAGTACAATATCTTGAAATACTGATCTATTGTGCGTATCTTTCATATATTAAGTTTTGGAATTGTTACAGAAGTATGGCCCTTTCTGAGTTAATCAACCAGATGATTCGTTTTTTTCCTTACTAGCGTCCATTACAATGAAGTTCTAAAACAATAAACTTCCAGACAGAGTAAAATGGGGGGGGGGGGTCTTTCAATAAAACAGCTTGTTGCAAGTGGTCCATGGTACGTTAAGTTTCCGGTCCTTTCTGTGCGGAGAGGAGAGTTTCCAGGGGCAGGAATGTCCCCAAAATCACTAGTCTCTACCGATTCGGTTCGGTAAGCACGCCATCTGGCAGCAGCTGAAGAAACAAGCTCTGCAGCTAAACCTGTTGTCACTTGGGCTACACGTTTCAGAGGCTAGAGATGGAAACTGGTCATACTAGAGTTGTTCTCACTAAAATATTTGGCAACCAGTAAGTTTGCACAAGTCTCTGGGCTGGAGAGTAAGCAGTTATTGTGAAGCTCGGTTTAAATGTTTGTGTAAACATGGAAGGTTGGATCAGATTGTGTTTTTTGTTTATTAGGTCTTGAATGCGTAATTCATCAAGGATTTCAAGCGATTGATATCAAAGTGTTAATGATGTCAAGTTTCAGAGTTCGACTAAGAAAATTCAGGATTTAATAGAATTGAAAGAAACGATCTGCCTGCTTTATGGAGCTTGTAGCCTACAGCTGGCTAGCAGCGTCCGCTTGCGCGCCTCTGGTAGCGGTCTTGTCCTTATGGACAGTTTATATCTTCCACACGTACAGACGGCGTTGGCGGACAGTGGATTTGTTCCTTCTGGCAGTTGGAACTCAAGAATTAGTGACTGCTCTCTTCGCTTTTGGTTTTGCCGTTCTAAGTTTAGTTATTCCAAGAACTGGGCCTCCTTGTAGCTTCATTCTTTGGGGATTAACTGCCACCAGGACCTTTCAAGTTGCCACTCTAGCTTCTCTAGTAGTAGACAGGGCTTTGACTGTGCGTTGGCCATACAAATATCGTTTCAGCGTCCGTCGTAATCAGATAAGATATCACATAGCAGTTTTGGCAGTCATCGCTGTATTTGTCGGCGTAGCGGCCGTGTTTGCTCGTTCACCTGACAAGAATCAACAGTATGAATGTTCTGTGCATCCTCTAGAATGGGATCGCCGGTTTTCCATCTTCAACATCTGTCTCCACGGTGTTCTTATGATTACCGTACTAGTATGCTGCTTCGACGTGGAACTGCACCGTTGTCGGGCTCGCCGCCGCAGGCTGCCCTTCTCCGTGCCGTCGCCGGGAACCGAGTGTGCTACAGGAACAGCCAGCAGCGGTAGTGTTACCAGCAGCTCCAGCGGAAGTACTCGGCCATTGCACGGCCCTGGTCGGCAAGAGTCGCACCGACCGTATAGCCCTGATCGACCCAGCTCTGACTTCCGGTGGACTGCTGTAGCGGTTGTTTCATCTTTGTGTTACCTTACCAATCATTTGCCGTACTTGGTAAGTCCTGATTCATTTGTAAATCATTAATTTCTGCTGTATATCAAAATAAGCACAGTCATCTTGTAGTATATAGTATTATCTAACTTTGTATCGGTTTAATGCTATGACTGCCCTGCATGTTATCATACCAGCAGTACTCTCCTTAACTAAAAAGAAATTTAGGAAATGGCTTTGTAAAGTTTTACAAAATAGCCTACAGTTGTACCACAAAATGATTTCGTAACACAATTTCAACTGATTCTGATACGAACTATAACAATGGAGTAAATACTCGATCAATAAGGAAAAGATTATCTATAGTGTTTGGATGACGAATTGTATATAAGAAGGATTATGTTCAGATTAATTTAATTAGGCCATAAAGACATATGTGGCAGACACATTTTGTCCTTATTTCTTTTCAAGTTTCAAATGGATATTATAAAAAATGTCAACTTGTACATTATTCTATTTTATGCTCTGTTGGAAATATGATTATTTCTTAAACATATTCTTATTTCTCGCTTTAAATACCTTCATAATACTAGAATGCACCAGTAAGGTGGCGTCCTGAAGAAAACATCGTAAACGATAAGCTCTGTAAAAAAAAGTACATAGAAATTTATTACGTTGAAGCGAGGCACAAGTTAACCTTCACACCATATATTTTACGAAAACTCATGACCCAGAAAACCCTGACTCATCCATCAGATTATCCCACATGAAGTAAACAAATTTGACTAATTCGCCTGGTTATCTCGCATGTACCAGACAAACTTGACTAAACTGGCTTTATATCTCGCATGAAGTAAACAAATTTGACTAATTCGCCTGGTTATCTCGTATGTAGCAGACAAACTTGACTAAACTGGCTTTATATCTCGCATGATGTAAACATATTTGAGTAATTCGCCTGGTTATCACGCATGTAGCAGACAAACTTGACTAAACTGGCTTTATATCTCGCATGATGTAAACATATTTGAGTAATTCGCCTGGTTATCACGCATGTAGCAGACAAACTTGACTAAACTGGCTTTATATCTCGCATGAAGTAAACAAATTTGACTAATTCGCCTGGTTATCTCGTATGTAGCAGACCAACTTGACTAAACTGGCTTTATATCTCGCATGATGTAAACATATTTGAGTAATTCGCCTGGTTATCACGCATGTAGCAAACAAACTTGACTAAACTGGCTTTATATCTCGCATGAAGTAAACAAATTTGACTAATTCGCCTGGTTATCTCGTATGTAGCAGACAAACTTGACTAAACTGGCTTTATATCTCGCATGAAGTAAACAAATTTGACTAATTCGCCTGGTTATCTCGTATGTAGCAGACAAACTTGACTAAACTGGCTTTATATCTCGCATGAAGTAAACATATTTGACTAATTCGCCTGGTTATCTCGTATGTAGCAGACAAACTTGACTAAACTGGCTTTATATCTCGCATGATGTAAACATATTTGACTAATTTGTCTGGTTATCTGGTATGTAGCAGACAAACTTGACTAAACTGGCTTTATATCTCGCGTGAAGTAAACAACTTTGACTAATTTGTCTGGTTATCCCGCATGAAGTAAACAACTTCGACTCATTTTCTGGTTATCCCGCATGTAGTAAACAAACTTGACAAAACTGTCTTTATATCTCGCATGAAGTAAACAAATCTGACTAATTTGTCTGGTTATCCCGCATGAAGTAAACAAATTTGACTAAACTGGCTTTATATCTCGCGTGAAGTAAACAACTTTGACTAATTTGTCTGGTTATCCCGCATGAAGTAAACAAATTTGACTAATTCGCCTGGTTATCTCGCATGTAGCAGACAAACTTGACTAAACTGGCTTTATATCTCGTATGAAGTAAACAACTTTGACTAATTTGTCTGGTTATCTCGCATGTAGTAAACAAACTTGACTAAACTTTCTTTATATCTTGCATGAAGTAAACAACTTTGACTAATTTGTCTTGTTATCCCGCATGTAGCAGACAAACTTGTCTAAATCGTCTGGTTACCTCGCATAAAGTAACTTGACTAACTCGTCTTTATATCTCGCATGAAGTAAACAAATCAATACAACCTGCATGAAGATTGTGTTTAGCAGATAAATATCTGTCTACCGCTACTTATACACATTAGAGATAATGATCCTTACTCTTCTAACAAAGCTTATGTTTAACGCCCCTCCAAACCTGGCCAAAACTCTTTATCTTTCTACTTCATATATATATATATATCAGTTTCTCAACTGTCACAAATACCGGTCTTCCATTATTCTATGTGTAGGAGTATCTTGCACATGCCACAGATATTAGTTTCTCGCATACCCTTAGATACAAGTCTCTTACATAATCCACAGATATCTGTGTCTGACATATTCCATATATACAAATAATCTACAGATCTGTATCTGGCATATTCCATAGCTACAAATAATCAACAGATATCTGTGTCTGCGTATTCCATAGAAACAAATAATCAACAGATATCTGTGTCTGACATATTCCATAGATACAAATAATCAACAGATATCTGTGTCTGCGTATTCCATAGATACAAATAATCTACAGATCTGTGTCTGGCATATTCCATAGATACAAATAATCTACAGATCTGTGTCTGGCATATTCCATAGATACAAATAATCAACAGCTATCTGTGTCTGCATATTCCATAGATACAAATAATTTACAGATCTGTGCCTGGCATATTCCATAGATACAAATAATCTACAGATATCTGTGTCTGACATATTCTATAGATACAAATAATCAACAGCTATTCTGTGTCTGGTATATTCCATAGATACAAATAATTTACAGATATCTGTGTCTGACATATTCCATAGATACACAATTTTTTTGCTCGCTTGTTTGTTTAGGACATTCGCATAAAGCTACGCAAGGCTTATTTTCGCTAGTCGTCCCTAATTTTGAACTGACTGAATATAAGGAAGGCAGCTAGTCAACATTACCAACCGCCAATTCTTAGGCTACTCTTTTCAGACCAAATGGTGGAATTTAACCGTCACTCTTATGACGCACCCATGGCTCTAAAGTACGTACCGTAATTTTCCGGCAACGGGGCGTGAGCCATGCATCCTCGGATTCACAGTTTAGCAAGCTAGCCAATAGACTACCTCACACCCGGCTCAGTTACGAATTTCTCGCATATTCTAGAGATAATGGTCTCGTGCATATTTTATAAATGCCGTTACAAACTAACATATTTTACAGGTGATATTTTACATTCCAGATATTATTTATTTAATACAATAAGTTCAAAAGTGCATTTCGGTGTTATGTTTGATATTTATACCTTTTTTTGTTACGCCTAACCATGCGATAATGCAATTTTTATGTAACTAAACCCTTGGGTTGCTTTCAGCTACGAAATCACAGCATTAAATAATGTGCTTATATGAAGTTGTTAGGTGTAAGCTAACTATTTATTCATGGCACTTTCTCTGCACATTGGATTTCAACATTCAAAATTTGTTATTTTATTTCTTTCATTAACACCAGTTTCCTTTCTACTATTCAAGTATATATACTTGCTCTTGCATAAAGTCACGTGAACAAAAGGAAACTTTACTGAAAGAAAAATACTAAAAATAATTTATCATTTATTCTTTCACAACCATTCTTTTTTAAAATGGGGGAACTGTAAAATAATGTTGCTTTACATATACACAATTCATTCTTTAGGTTGATACATATTATAATAATAATTAAGGAAGGAATGACAACAAACACAATTCTTATCTCTCGAATCAACAACAGTCATTGGGAGGTATATCTCGTAGCCAAAACTTTGCCCAAACGAGAAATATAAATATGTCTATAAGATTTAAGAGAAGAAAAAAAAGGGGGACACAGGCATATTCATCACATAATAGACGGTAGATTAAAGAAGCAAACAGACCGTAGAAACTAGCAAACAGCAAAGTGCTGGTTACAAAACTAGGCAAGAAAAATGTAGGCGCGTGAAACCACTGTTTCGTAAAAGAGTTGGGTATTTTAAACACTGTGGGTGAAGGGAGGATCGAAGTTTTTCTAAACACGGGAGTGACAGTGATAGCTGATAATCACGTCATTACTGGACACTACAGGGAGTGGATGCACGAACCTGACCTCTAATCTCTCGCCACATGACCTGAAAATAAGCTCGGAACCGTGAGATACCTAATCTAGAGAACTTAATATCCACATGTTTGTGTATTTAATCACAGTGTTCAAGGCGGAAGGCTTATCAGGAAACATTAATTGCTTTTTTTTACGTAGGTTGTTACAAAAACATGCTCTCTATAGTTTTTAATCTAAACTATACTCTAGTGAGAGTGGTATCAATACGAGAGAGAAAATATATAGTATTATATACCCTTCCTCAGCCTCAAATATAAAGTGTTAAGCGTTATTTCTTAAGTTCCTTACTTATTACGTGATAAATATTTACGTATGCTATTTTTTATATTAAAAAACAGGAAAAATATTCAGGTAGATAAACTTTTAATTTTTTGAAATGTTTATAACGATTTTCAACTGTTTTTACTAATGAATGTTAATAGCTACATACATCAGTCTGCTGAACGTCTTAATTTCATTCTAATTTAGAATATCATTCATTGTTAATGGAATTATGGTTCGTTATGCTGAAGATAAAGTATACTGATTGAATAAAAGCAAAAAATGAAGACGAATTTGTTAATAAGCGCCAAGCTGTACAATGGTCTATCCTGGAAAGAGGGGGAGGCACGTGAATGAGAGATTATTGTCGCTATTAAGTAAAAGATTCAGTAATTAACAAATGTAAACATTTATTCAAAGTTTAACAAAGCTTTATCTCATACAAAAACACGTAAACAAATAACATGAAAGTGCATTATCTGATTGGTTCTTTTAATTGAAGACCAGATATTTTGATATTTGTGTTTAAAGTGGGTTGCTTTCTTAAAAGTAGAAAACAACAACGGTTTCAAGAAATAGTCATTAGATAACTTAGGTATC